GGATTTAATTATCCCGACTCATTCTCAGGAATTGCTAAAGAAGTGCAACCTGGCATATCCATATTGTTACTACATGAACCAGTATTCGATCGAAACTAGCATCTTTTTCTCTCTTCTTTTTCAAGCTCATGCGGGCAAATAATTGTTGATGTTTATGATGCGGCAGATAAGTGCATGATGTACATAAGATGGCGTATCTTTATTGTAAATCAACGCATGTTAAACTAATGATAACATTTTAACATTTATTTATATACGCTAACATTGATATGTGTCGATTTTAATTGATAAGAAAACAACAAAAATAACACCGCCACCTCCACTAACAACAACAAAACCAGCAACAAAACTAAAATAGGTTGGATATTTCCTGAAAACAGAGACAACTGTGCTGCCAGGAACGGGACACATCTTTAGGCACTTTCCAGTACCGGCCACGAACAGGCTCAATCAACCCGTGCCTAGAATGTCGTTTTGGACTTTCTATAGGGTTTTTTTTTTTAGCAAAGTAGTGTATACTGATAGAACAATTAAATCATACATTAAATTTACTTGATTATTATTACTGGTTGTTGACATTATCTGACTGCTACAGTATGGTTAAAGGAAGGAATTGGTATTTCGAGATTTAGATTATATGAGGTATCGTTATTTTGAGGTTTATGTTACATGAAATTGCAGGCATTATAAAAATGCATGAGGTTAAAAATATATGAGAAGGTTATGGTTAAATGTGGTGTTTATGTTATTTAAAATTTTGGGTACTTTGAGATACATGTTTATTTTATATCAGGTATGACATTTTAGGAATTTGTGGGTAATTTAAAATATGGGTTACATTCGGTATGATTATATTGAAGTTTTTATAAGTTATGAGTATTTTAATATTGAGGTCTGGGATAAAATTATGTAGGTTTCGTCACATCATACTTTAAACTAATATAACTAATATAACTTTGAGTTTTGACTACATAGAACTGTGAAATAATCGGCGGATGACTTTGATACAAATTAATATATAATATGTGGGTAAAATAAGTTACAGTATAACCCTACATAATCATTATATAAATCACTATGTCAAACATATAGTATACTACGGTTTGGGCTTCATAAAACATGCACCGGCAGGTTTTTATACGTCGTAAAGTGTTTGACATATAGGGTTTAGGGGATAAAAACTTTTTAAGTACCTATGAATTATCTCGATTTTATTAGAAAAACAGAGAGCACGTTCTTCATGGGAAATGCTTATCGCGGGTTAAACGAGCAGCAGAACACGGCACTGCCTGTCTTGGCTAATTGCTGTAAGTCAAAGTAGCTCGTATTCAAACGGAAGCTTGACTCAACTCGCTCGCAAAGATTGAAAGTTGCGAAGAACACATCAAGATGATCTGAACGAAAACACATCGAAAGACTTCGGAACGCTTAATATTCTATCTTCAAAAACTTGACTGAATTTCTTTTTTTTATCACTATATCTTTTTCTCGTTACTAACGGAATAGCGACTAGACTTATTTTTGTACATTTTGATTCGCTTTAGGTTATTTTGTGGATTTAAGTTTCTTATGAAACTTTAAATAACATTTATTCGTTTACTTTACAATATTTTTATGTCTATAAGACATATTGCTTTAATCACATTAGTCAATGCCAAAGTCAAACAGTTCCTTCTAGGGTCTGTTTTTTTTTCAGTGTGTTATTTTTGGTTCCTGTATTTGGGCAATTGTGTTTTGCCTGTACTAGTAATTCACGGCGTAATTATTGTCAAATTTAAAAAAGTACTATAGATGTAATTGCTAATTTATTGACCTTCATAAGACAATAAGTATAATGCATCAGACACGTACTTAGTTCTTTAGATATCAGAAAATAGAGATTGGGATATTAGGGGAATTTTGTAGGGGAAGAATACTTTTTCAAGAGAGGAATGCTATGTTGATTAACTTAATTCATTTAGAAGTATGCAAATCAATTGCTTTTCTAAGGTAGTCTGCGTTCAACTTAGGCTTTTTTTATGTTTTTATTAATTATGGGGTATGAACATAAATCAAGCTTATTTAATTGAGACTTAGGCTGGACGAAATAGTTCCTACACTTTATTAAAAACAAACAAACACCGGGATATTCAGCAGCAATGTACAGTGTTCATATTGCTTGCTCTATACAGTTTAATGGCATAATTATTTCAGGCACTTACAGTCTCACAATCTGGGTTCATATTTGATACGAAAGTGATTAGAACTAAATGTGAATAGATAACAAAAGCTGAGACAACACAGTTGTAGATAACATTTAATTCTTTATTCTAGAAACATTTTTTATAAAAACATGGTTTTACTTTCATCAAACAATAACACCTTTTACAAGTACAGCCAGTCAACAATCTTCATTTACCTTAGCCAGAGGTACTGATCGAATTGGTTTATTTTTTCAGGTTGTTTTCAAAATACAAGTTTTTATAAAGATATGTTACTATGCCCAAAATCATGCAAATGATATCAATATTTAAGATCTTAGGTCTGAATGATAGAGCAAAAATGACTGGCTGTTAAGACAATGCTACATTATGTACAGTTGACTGTACTTGGTTAAACAAAATCAAAGAGGCATCACATAAATTTTCAATTAAGCCCACATCTACACAATAAATAATTTTTAAAGAAGGAAATGCGTAAAAATAATTTAAAAAAATCTTAGTTATCGTGTCCATGTATATATACATGTTTATAGTGATGATAAAATTAACTGCATAATATCAATTATCTTGTGCCTCTGTGAGTGTGTGTGCGTGCGTGTGTGCATGTGTTAGTGAGCTTATGTAAATGTGTATAAAATATATGAAAACAATTATTTTTTTCTAAGAAATCAAGAATTTAAAACATTTAAAACGTTTGTATCGTAATAAAACAGTTATATCATGTTATTTTCGATTAATCCTTGAATCGTAAATAAATAATTTCTTTGATAACTTGAACGCGATCGATACAGTAAAAAAAATGAAATCCCCCTTTAGGCATCAACATTCTTCCTCTGTATTAATGGGAAGATTGAAATACTAAATATTCTGTCGAACTACCAAAAGTTGATAAAAAAACAATATTCTAGAATTAAGCACATTAATACATTTAGCAACATTTAAAGCACTTTCATGGAAAAAAATACAAATAAATTCTTCAATGTGTATCTGAAAATAAAATGTTTATTAAGATATTGTTCAAATTAGATAATTTATATCACCAAAGTGTTGTTATAAATACGACTTCAGATAATCGTAAGACGGCCCCCTTTTCGTAATTTAAACATCTCGCGAGATCTGAGCACTTTAAAGAAAATAAAATACAAACACAAGGCTATCAGTGTATGAATAAGTATATTACAAAGTAAACTCCCATGATAACGTTCCATAATAAATCCTGGAACAAAAATATTTGCTACAGTAATAATAACGTTGTTTTTCTGCTGTCTAGGTCACAAAGTGCATACGGATTTTTCTGATAGATTTTCATAGGCAACGATGCAAAATAATTTAAGGAACTTAAATTGTCATCGCATTTGAATTACATACGAGGAAATACGTTCAAGAAGTAGGTTTGAAATTTCAATGATGAATTTTACACAAAATATTTTCTGTTTATAATTTTTGTTGAAGAGAATAGACTCGCGATGTTAAAATTAAAGTTTCAATTGTAATTACAATGAATATTCTTAAAGTAACACTAAAATACAGTATAGCCTTTATCGAAACATAAATCAACTTTTTGATAACATCAATAAACTATTTGCAAACGTACGTAATAAAACAAACAAATAAAATGAACATATAGACATAAATAACAAAATAAACGAAACTTGATTATTTACATCACAATACAACAAATAATCTCACAAAGGTTCAAGAATGAAATATACAACATATTTTACTTTAATTAACTTCAGACAATTTAGCATACCAAACGATTTACTCTAAATAGTTCGTTCCGACAAAATTTGGAAAAAATAATGTATCTCAAAAAGAAGTTAACTCATAAACTAAAAACGTAGCAATTCCATTGAAAATTGACTTGTTTTCTTTTTATCTTTTTGTTGATTAAAAAATAATTTAATGATCAAAATGTTTTACAATGAAATATTAGTTTTTACAGCTAAATCTTGAGATAAACCTTATTTGTAATACACATTAAAGGTATCAGCACTGTATCAGCACTTCAAAAACAATAAAATACAAAAACAAGTTTATCAGTATATTTACAACATAAACACCCATGATAGTGATACTGCATAAAACATAATGTCAAAGATATGCCACCGTGGCAATTATGTTTTTTTCCACAATATTCATTATGATTATCATCTCTTAATAATTATGTATTTCCTGAAAATCAGTAAACTTAGATTTTTTTCTCTCAGTCTTTTGTTAAGAATATTTGTTAAAATTGTTTTAACGTTAATAATTGTATTTGGAATGAGTTTTACACATTTTTTTGAAAGGTAAATCACACAAGAGATTGACAAAATATTTTAACTTTTATTTATCATGACGTTCCAAGAAAAAAAAGAACAGTGAAGATCTAACTACATAAACATTTGAAACAAAACGTATGTACAAAAGAAGAAGAAAAAGAAAACATCAATTACTTGTATTCACTAACAATGAAAGCAATACTCTATTGACTATTGAAGTCACAATCGACTTTCTGGTGAAAATTGATAGCCATTTAATATTAATGATAAAAAATGGTTTCCGACAGCTTGATTAATATATATCTTATTACACAAATCTGCTGTAACAAAATTCACCAAAATGACTTGATAATTCATGAGCTGAACGAAAGTGATAGAATATAAAGTCAGAATGAACATGATTCTGCAGGAAGTTGACATTTGACCATAATTAATTCACCTGCAAAACTAAAATATCAAATTAAAAATTCAGCACTTGACACAGATCATAGCATACATGCACAGTCAGTGTTTATAATAAATTATTTGGGATTGTTTACTCTTTGGCTGCCTCGATCACTTGTACTTTGTCTTCCCTCGATTCCCCAGGTTCATTTCGCTCTCTTACGGCATCGTGCCGACCAGAATCTAAAAATGAGGTCATGAGTGTTTTACACGGTGACATGATGGTGTACTCTTGTAGAAAGGAAGCATCACTTACATTTTCTACAGCACTTGATTTGTTTTCACTTAAGTTTTCAAAAGCACTATTCACAGGGGATATATGGGTATAAACGTCACTGTCGCGGGGGTGGGGTGGTAACACAATATCAGTTGGCGTGAGTGGGGCTACTGGTGCACAGAGCGATTGCAGGTGGTGAGCCGCGTCTAAAGACGAGCGTCTACTTTCCATGATAATGTCCAAGAAATTTCCGAACAATGGGTGATATGACTCACTCTGTGGTGCAGTCGCGGTTGACGTAATCTGAAAACGATCACTGTCGTCTGCTGATAAAGGTTTAACTTGTGACTGATCTCTCAACTGACATGGGGAGTCTTTGCTGCTCTCACATTTTTCAACTTCGGGTAAATTTACGCTGAACTTTTGGGTATCGGACATTTGTGGCGTTCGGTCTTTACTGTTATTTGCTTTTTGCTGCAGCGGCGTCTTTCTAATGTCAAAGTCATCAGGGTGACCATTTTCAGTGTATGTTTCGTTGTGATAAGGCTCCAGACCCAGATGTTCGTGAATCGTAGCTCTGTATTTATCAGATCCAGGAACTTTACTCTGTTGGCGATTGAAAATAGCCGGTGATACCTGAGTCCAGTCTACTGTCCACAAACCAGCTTTAACTGGATGTTCAGAGGGTATTTTGACGAAGCACGAGGAATGTGATAAATTGTGACGTACCGAATCCCTCCAACCTGTATACGAGCCTCGGAAGAAGGGAAACAACTCCATCAGTGCTGCGTGGATTCCTTGAAGAGTTAGCTCCTGTTTCGGAGAAATTTGTATAGCAACCGCAATCATCCCACGATAACTGTAAGGCGGTTTCGGCCAACGTTTGTATGGAACATTTTTAGTTTCTTTTCTAGTTTTCTTGTTAGGTTTATTTTGTTGTGTTTGCCATTTGCGTTTCTTTCCACTGTGTTCAAAGTCATTGCTAAAGTCTGTGTCTACAGAGTCGTGACTGAATACCGTAGATGCTGATGCAGAAGACAAAGAAGTATCTGTGCTGCTACATCGGTTTTCGTCGTACCAATATGAGCTAGGTGCGAGTCCTGAGAAATTGTTATAGTAAGACACCTCTGCGTCAAGATTGTTAGAATATCCACTCGAGTTGTTGTCAGCGAAGTGATTGTATCTGTTGAACAGATTAACGTTCGGAGGAACTTGATTTTCTCGAGATTGAGCCATTGACCAATCCTGGTGGTGCCAAGGGTAAGTATATGATTGTGTTGGCATTTGTTCATGAAGAGGATACGTGTGACTCGTTGATATGTGGTGCGGGGTATAAGCCGTCTGTTCAGTTGACCGCACTTCATTATCGTCTGCCATTTCTGCAATACAAAAAATAAACGAGTTTACATACGATTTACATAAGTTTATATAAATTTAGGTTTACTGCTTAAAATTATAACTTTATACCGACTGGGCGTTCTTTAAGGTTTCTGTTTTTCAGTTACATGTTTTTTTGTTTTGTTTAATATTTATGAATTAGTTTCTTATGAATTGGTATGGTATGGTATGAATTGATTTGTTTGTTGGTTTTTTTTTATTTATAAGATTTCATTTTTCAGTTCATTTCTTGCAGAGCTCGCAAGTACACTACAACGGAGAAGAAGCATGCGGGCTGTAAAGTTTACATCACGTGTGCACGATTTGTTGTTGCACTTTTTATTATGCGTGACTGCACTGACGGACTTATTAAATCCCTCGCCCTGCAGACGCGTCCTCGTGCTTCTTCAGATGTAATGCACGAAAAATGTTGCAGTAACCCTCTATTATACGAGTAATTTTTCTAGAAGTAAGCTAATAAAGTGATAATTATCAATGAGAAAAAGGCAATGGACTAGTATATTAGAGAAAAAGTCCTTGTCTCAGTATAGATAAGAAACAGTCCTTTACCGAGTTATCAAAGAGAAAACGGTCCTTTATCCAGTTACCAAAGAGAAAACAGCCCTTTACCCAGTTATCAAAGAGAAAACGGTCCTTCATCAAATAATCAAAGAGAAAACAGCCCTTTACCCAGTTATCAAAGAAAAACAGAAATTTACCCAGTTATCAAAGAGAAAACGGTCCTTCATCAAATAATCAAAGAGAAAACATTCCTTTACCCAGTTATCAAAGAAAAACAGACATTTACCCAGTAATCAAAGAGTAAACAGACCGTTACCAAGTATCAAAGGAAAACAGACCTTTACCCAGTATCAAAAAGAAAACAGACCTAAACTAAGTATCAAAGAGAAAGCAGTCCTTTACCGAGTTATAAAAGACAAACAGGCCTTTATATAGTATCAAATAGAAAACAGCCCTTTACCCAGTTATCAGAGAGAAACAGTCCTTTTCCCAGTTATCTAAGAGAAAACAGTTCTTTACCCAGTTATCAAAGGGAAAACATTTCTTTACCCCAGTTATCAAAGAGAAAACAGACATTTACCCAGTTATCAAAGAGAAAACAGCCATTTACCCAGTTATCAAAAAGAAAACAGTCCTTTACCCAGTTATCAAAGAGAAAACATTCCTTTACCCAGTTATCAAAGAGGAAACAGGCATTTACCCAGTTATCAAAGAGGAAACAGCCCTTAACACAGTTATTAAAGAGAAAACAATCCTTTACCCAGTTATCAAGAGAAAACTGTCGTTTATCCAGTTATCAAAGAGAAAAACAGTCATTTACCCATTTATCAACGAGAAAACAGACGATTACCCAGTTATCAAAGAGAAACAGACATTTTCCCAGTTATCAAAGAGAAAACAAACTTTTACCCAGTTATCAAATTAAAAAACAATCATTTACCCAGTTATCAAAGAGAAAAAAGACATTAACCCAGTTATCAAAGAAAAAACAGACATTTACCCCGTTATCAAAAAGAAAACAGACCTTAACCAAGCATCAAAAAGAAAACAGTCTTTTACCCAGTTCTTAAAGAGAAAACAGTTCTATATATAGTATCAAAAAGAAAACAGTCATTTGCCCAGTTATCTAAGAGAAAACAGTCCTTTACCCAGTTATCAAAGAGAAAGCATTTCTTTACCCAGTTATCAAAGAGGAAACAGATATTTACCCAGTTATCAAAGAGAAAACAGCCCTTTACACAGTTATCAAAGAGAAAACAATCCTTTACCGAGTTACCAAAGAGAAAACAATCCTTTACCGAGTTATCAAAGAGGAAACAGTCCTTTACACAGTTATCAAACAGAAAACAGACATTTATCCAGTATCAAACAGAAAACAGACATTTATCCAGTATCAAAGAGAAAATAGTGCTTTCCTTTACCACGTTTCTAAGATGAAACAGTGCCTTACCCAGTTTCAAAGAGAAACAGTACTTCATCCAATAGTAAAGAGGAAAATAATCGTTTATATGGTATTACAGAGAAAAAATAGTTTACTCAGTATTATAGTGCAAACTCAGTTACCCTACATTAAGTCATTTATAAAGTATTAAAGCAGAAAGACATTTACGCAGTATCAAAGAAAAAAGTGTGGCTTTCCAAGTGTTACAAAGCAAAAAGGCTTTTGCATAGCATACATAGGAACTCAACTGAGGTTCAAAATAAGATATAAACCATAAAATTTGAATTTCGTGGCATTCAAAACAGACAGATATGCTGGAGATAATCAATAAATATACTCAGAATTAAATTGAAAATCGTACTTTGTCCTATTCTTAATACACTTTGAGTTAAAGCGCTTTTCAATTTTGGGTAATTTTTCACAATCAGAACAATTCTTTGGGAAAACGGAGTGAGTTAATGATTGGAAATTTCGCACACAAGTTATTGGTCTATACATACATCAAATGGAACATTAATCTCGAAAAACTATTTCCAGTTCAGTAATATCAAAAAACCACAGTGGAGTGAGTCCCTTTCAAGTGCAAACCGTTGTTTACCCAGTATCAAAGAGAAAAAGATGTTTACATAGGATCACAGAGAAAAACGTCAAGGATATTAATGCCTATATTGGACTATGCAGACGTAACTCAATTCCACTCGTATGACCTTAAACAAATAGATGGAAAGAAAATAACATGAACTAGTGGTTATTTTCAATTACCTCGATTTAAAAAAACATGTAGATGAAGTAAAACACTAAGATACTTAAAAAATAAATGATATTGTATTTATTTGTAATAAGCACAATTAAGAGGACGAAAATATTTTAACAGGAAAATATATCCACAATTGTTTATATTATCAAAAAATAAAAGAATGTAAAAAATGTAGGAGAAAAAAATATAAAAATGGTAATGACAATTTCTTTCTGCCGAAAAGGCGAACGATAATTTTTTTATTAATATACAAATAAAAATAGTTGAGCACAATTTTATTAAAAAGAACCGTATTTAAACATTATGCCGAGAAACTTAAACCGGCATGCCTCCAAATTCAGGCCATTTTATTGAAAATCTTGATACTGTATTTTGAAATAAATTTCAAATGAACAGAAAAAGTAATTTAAACATTGCAACTGACATTTACAGTCCGCGTAAATTACCCCCCAAAAAAAAAATAAAAAATATAAAAAAATGAGATCAAACTTTGCAAAAATAGTCCTTATTGTGTTAGTCACGCATCAGAAATATGGTGATAAATGTATACTACATCGCACATAGCATGTAAATAATTACTTAAATCTTGAATATTTACCTCTCATAAAAAAATCTAAGAACATTTTTCTCAAGTTTGATTTTTGTCCAACATTTTAGCTTATCTGGAGATATGCAGCTTTTAAGGAACATTATGCCTACGAAACAATAATTTTTTACTTTTTCAATAAGGGCAAACGTGAAGTTTATGTTTATATAATGGTATGTAGAGAAATGTTACATGCTTGTCACACGAAAAGTTAGCGATAGAGGTGAATAGTTTGCCATAAAGTTAGTAAAATGTAAAAGTAGTATTTCGACTTCTAATTTTTAGGACGCAAGCATTAAAAGTCTAATAAGAAATAGAAATAAAAGCATTTCTGAGGCTTTTTTAAAGAGTAGTTGTCAGTAAACTGAGATTGTCTTCTCCTGTTTAACATAATTATATGTCATCTTGAGATGCAGAAATGTGAAAAAACGCAAAAATTGTGGTAAATTAACGAAAATAAGGGACCGAAAGGTAAACGATAAATATATTTATAAGATATGAAAAATGAAACAACAATGAATTAACGCATTTAGTATCGTCCATATATTTTACAAGCTATGCTTTAAAAATCGAACGTTGGAGAACTGCTTTTAGAAAATGTATAAATATTTATAATTGCTTTGTACATTGTTATGATTGAAGTAATTAACTATTCTTAGAACTTTCCTATTCCTATATTCCACAGCTGTGGCCATTTTTTAAATGGTTTTAGAAATTATGTGTAATTTAGATAGATTTACTGCCTGAAGCCGGCTTAAATCATTCTTTTTATTAAAGGTAAAAAAACCGAACACGTTAAATTTGAATCTCACTAAATATTAGTGAGCAAGAAAAAGTGAAAATCTGTAATAGGAATAAGAAACATAGTCAGCTATAAATGAATATATATAAGTTTTTGTGTGGATTCGTAGCCGGAATTTAGCAACGCTTTTATGTTGATCATTTTCACATAAATTATTATTCTAGAATAGCCACACAATCGGGTCGGCCTACATAAATTTATATAAGTTTCGCCCGCCATGTCAAGTACTTTACACAATCATTAATATTAACCAATGACTCGGCGTATCACAGTGATCAATATTGGATCATGTCTGTTACAGAATTATCATATCATATGTCTCAATGTACACATTTGTCAATTAAAAAATATTGTTGAAATATAACAATATAGTCCATTTTAAGTACATAATGTTTTGCCCAAAGGCAATTGGCCTCAGAACAAATAATTATTCATCGTAGAATGCAAATAATTTTGTAACATTTATATTTATAAATAAATGATGTTTAAGACATGCATCTAGCTTAGAACTTGCGCAGAAAGTAGCGCTGAACGTGATATAATTCTTCAAAGAAAGGAGCAAAACGGAAACGAAGCAGTATTTTGGTTTCCATACTATAAACTAAATCACAATACATGTACTTACTGCGAAGAAGCAATAAAAGCAAAAAAGTTCATGTATTTGGTCAAGTAGTATCTTTTTGGAAATTATATCTAGACACTTGAAATAAGGAGCTTTTGTAAAATAAGAATAAAAGCATTTTGGGGCAAGAATGGGCATTTAATGTATAATCATCTCATATTATTTAGCACTTTCTAAATATTCTTAAAATGCGAAGAAGTGACGCTTTATGCATAATTAGATATTAACGGCATACAGCTTATACCTTGACTAGCAAATCACACTATACTT